AATCACCTGCTTAACAGATATTCACTGAAATACTTTACAAGTCACTGTAGGGGGTACACATCATAAAAAGGAATTCCTACCTTCTAGAAACTAACAATGTCTTGTTCTTACCAGTGAAGAAGAAAATAAATTACTCAGTCCCTTTCTGATTTCAGGTCAGATCACCAGTCCTTTGGGAAATTTAACCAGAATAATGTTGGAAATGGGAACAAGAAGCTGGTTTTAGGAGACAGACAGACAGACAGGCAGTTGAGTTCCAGGTGTCTTTATTTTGAAGTGAGAGAGTGGGAACATTTGAATGGTAATATGCCAGAAGCAGCTGAAAATAGAAGTTTGGAGATCACAAGTGTATATAAAAAAAATAGTTGTTTCCAAGCTAAGCTTCTTTTTTTTTGGTTTGTTTTGAGACAGAATTTTGCTCTGTCACCCGACTGGAGTGCAGTGGGACCATCTCGGCTCCCTGCAACCTCTGCCTCCCAGATTCAAGCAATTCTCCTGCCTCTGCCTCCCGAATAGTTGGGACTACAGGCATTCACCACAGCATCTAGTTTCCCTCACATTCTAAATAGTCATAGAGTATTACCACGATCGCTAAAGTCACAAAGTGCTTGAGAGGCTCAGAAGATCAAGAGCCAAGAAGGGGTTCTATTGACATTAGTGGTGATGGTAAAACAAGTGAAGAATGGCCGGTGAAACTGAAAGACCAAGGGCTTGTCAGTTACTAACTCTATCATATAAAGCGTTGCCTTCCAGCAAAGAAAATGGGGGGCAGAAGTACTAATGAAACCCTAGTTAGGGAATTGATCTCTGAAAGGGATATTTATTTGCAGATTATTTCCCAAGCTGTAGGTAGTAAATAAGTAAGCAGACACATACATTAAAAGTCGTGTGGAATCCTACAGCAAGAGACCGATGAAGGAGTTTAGTACAAATCCATTTCAACCAGAAAATAAGAAGACACCTCAAAGTGTAAGTCCTTGCGTGGGCATTCAGCATGTCTTCTTAAACGACAGAAAGAAAAGAGCCTGCTCTGAGTGCAAGTTGCTATTTCATTTTGGTGTCTGAGCTACTAATGATCCTAATGGACTCCACAACTATTTCTTTAAATCCTTTTACAGCTTAGTTTTGAAGAATTATGTCAGTTTTTTGGTCTTCTTGCCTACTTTTCTAGATCCCAGAAAATTAGGCCACTAACAGTAAATATTTTCTGGGGCACTGTAGCAAAATTTTGGTTGTCAGACAAATTAAGTCACAGCGACCTGCAGGGAAACCGTATCAGAGGAATACTGAAACGGGAAGAATGAGGCTAAATGCCACTACGTTTAAATGCTGGGTGTAGCCCAGCAGGCTCTGCGTGGGAAGCCTGTTCTGACTTCTATGCATATAATTGTGTGCTCCACACATGTGAGTGCGTGTGCTCCACGCATGTGAATGCTGTACGCTGTGTCCTGTGTCTAAATACTTCAAGTTGCCTGTGCTCAGTCCCTGCAGGTTCATTTCTTGTCCAACAATTCTTGCCCCAGAATGTAAAACACCATGAGGATTTTCCTAGTCGGGAAAATCCCAGTATAATTAGTCTGTAGGAAACTCCAAGCTTACAGATTGTATTTATCACCGTTAAAACGATAAGCAAAAATATTATTTAAAAAAATTTGGTGCACCAGTGAACGTTTCTCTGAAAGAGAAAAGGATTCTTCATACATGGTGCAAGTGCTTCAGAGTGGTTTTCATGCGGTATACAGCTGTTTTGAGGGTAAATGAGGCTTTCTGAATGAAAGGAAAAGGAAGAAAAGGAAGGAAACTAACATTTCAAACAAAACTCTGTGTTAGCTGCTGTAGTAGACGCTTTATAGACATCATTTCCATTTTATTCCATTTGTGAGAAGCTTTGTTATATTTGCAATTGGCAGAAATATTCATTAGGGAAATAAAGCAATTGAGGATGACTAGAAGGACAAGGTGGCATTGAAAGAGGTATTTTAAGCCAAGGTATATTTGGCAGGTGGCATGGAATGAAGGAGTTTGAGAGACACCATAGGCCAAAACATTCAGTCATCTCTAAGAGCAAGGCTATTTTCTGAGGAAGGACAATGGCAAATGTTGATTGGATGAATCATAATTAGGTAAGAGGAAATAATTAAACCTGTATTAAAGAGGACAAGGAGAGTAAGAAATGAATGAACTGAAAGGAAAACTGAGAAACTAAGAAGATGAGCTGGGCACAGTGGCTTACGTTGTAGTACCAGCATTTTGGGAGGTCAAGGTGGGTGGATCACCTTAGGTCAGGAGTTCGAGACCAGCCTGGCCAACATGGTGAAACCCGGTCTCTATTAAAAATACAAAAATTAGCCAGGCATGGTAGCACATGCCTGTAACCCCTAGCTACTCGGAAGGCTGAGACATGAGAATCACTTGAACCTGGGAGGCAGAGGGCAGTGAGCCAAAACTGCACCACTGCACTCCAGCCTAGGCAACAGAGTGAGATTCCATCTTAAAAAAAAAAAATTAAGAATATGGGCGTTGCCTAGCTGCTCTCCAAACATCTGCAAAAATGGATATATAATTTGTATATACATAAAAAGAGTATTTATATACTCTTCCCTCGATCTTGTCATCATTTACGTATCATCAAAACTTTAAATTGTTTGCAAATTAAATATGAAACTAGGGTTTTGGAAGTCAGGACCATGTCGCCTTGCGGGTAGGCAATAGCTGGACAGAAGCCCCAGGGAGGATTCCTGGGGGCTGGCACAGTTCTGCTGTTGGTCCGGCTGCTGCTTACACGCAGGTGTTCAGTTTGTGGAAATCCATCAAGCTATACAATTACGATATGTGCACTTCTCTGTATACATGCTAGAATTCAATAAAAAAAAAAAGCTTGACAATTTAAATAAAGTATCTTCTTACAGATACTTTGAGTTTCCCTGATGACCTCTGTGTCTGGGCATCTTTTTTATTGTGCTGGTCATCTGTATTTCCATTCCATGCATAGATGAAGAGACCTCAACCTGTCATAGTAAAATTTAGACTTTCAAAACTAAAGAAAGAATTCAGCAAGACACACACACACACAAACACACATCTTACATATACATATAGTACAAAGTCTACTTCACCATGTTATCAAACCAAACTGGGGTCCGCTTGCCAGTGCAGTAAGGCAGACATCTATACTAAGAATTGCAGCAGGAGAAACAGGGGTGTTTATTTGCAGGCCCCCAAGTATGGAGACTGGAGCAGCTGTTGCTTCAGTCCTGACCTCGCCAATGGCTTACAGGCAAGGGTTTGTAAAGGCGGGAAGGTGGAAGCGACGGGCAGTCATAAATCAGCAATGGAGGCTCTACATTGGTTTGACTAAAGGACAGGACATCTCAAAGCAGGGGCCATGAGTCATAGGTGGATTTGAAGCTTTTTTGATTTGTGGAGGTGAAGCTTTTGTCTAAATATTTTGGGTTATCAGAAAAGAATGCTGGCTCTGGTTCATGTACGTGACCTCTAGGCCCCTGAGGAAGAAATTTAGAAGAAGTATGGTAGTCAAGGTTCCATCCTCAGCTTCCCCTCCTCTGAGGTCTGTGCCAGCAGATTCGTTTGGTGGGGGTCTGACTTTCTGAAGAACATTTGTATATGTTAAAATATGACACACACGTTAAGATGCTAGCTTCAGTTTCTATAGGGAACAATTCTCCTGCCTCCAGCGTCGCTGACTGTTGTTTCAGGCTGCCATTACCTTCTTAGCAAGTCGCTTATTTACTTCTCAGGCCTACCTACGTGCCTGGAATTTCCCTTCATAGAACTCAAGATTGTTCTTTATTTCCATGCTTGCCAGGGTTAGGGGGTAGATCACAGACTGCTAAGTGAGCTCCCTGTTCTGTCTCAACCACAGGAAAAATTTCACCTAACTTAATTCTGAAGAAAAAAAGATCAGACTTCAGATTTCACCTTCACAATATTAAATGATACATAATCATAAAGGCAAAAGAAATACTATTTCATATTAAATAATTCTGAAAAAAACCTCATATGTAATCTTTCTATAAAACGTATCAAAAGCATTTCTAGTTAACTAATAAAATGAAAAAGAAAATTATCATATAAATAAATTGCATGTTAACATTAACACCTAAATGTGGAATTTAAAACTAGTGCACATATCAAAAATCATTCTAAGTCAAAAATCTTTAGGGAAATTAAAGTATAATAATATATAACAGAATAAAAAAGGGGAAACGGGAATAAAAAAAGAAAGCAAATCTAAGATAACATTATGTTGGATGTGAAATTTACACTAAAAAGTATAAATATATTTAATTCTCTTATTAAGAGGTTAGGTGAAAGCTAATGTGGACTAAAATAGCTTCAGAGACGGTCACTGGGCATTCCTCTTAATGGCTGGAAGCATAAATTTCCACCTCTTTCTTCATCTTGGCTTGAAGTAAGGGACCAGGATGAGACCCTTTTTTGACAGAGCCTGCAGCAATTGTGTATGGAGCAAACACAGATACCTTCCACAGAACGACGAACAAACAGGACATCAGACAACATGGGAAAATGCAGGCATTCAGAACAGGGAGCATCGTTCTGAGTTAATGAACTCATTCATTTAATTTTATTCTTTCCCAGCACCCTGCTAAAATCCCATAAAAAAGACATTTACAAAGAGCACATAAATCCACAAGAATATTGAGAACATGGGAGAAGACAACAGCAACACATTTCTTGAAAATGGATGCAAGGAAATAGACGAGGTGTAAACAGGACAATCATGGAGGAAGCTGAAAGCCCGCAGCTGTGTGTGGCTTGGTTATGGCAGAAAGGCGCCCACCTGGAGGCTGAGTTGAAGCTGAAACCCTGAACACACGTTTCTCCAGCCAAGCAGTGCGCCCTGCCAGGGGCTGTGTCTTCCTGGAAGAAGGAGTACCTTTGATAGTTCATTCAAAGCCACTGTGGACTCAACAACTGCCTTTGTCTAGAAGAGCATTCTTATCCATATACTCCTGTACCTCCGTGGGGGCTCTCCTGAGAGTCCAACCTGATTTACACTCGGAATCCTCAAAATACTTGAGAACTGTCAGCACGAAATCTCTAAATCTCCGGCTCATGGAGCATAGAAGGCTGTTAAATCAAGGAGAATCAGGTAAGTTGTTTGGGAAGCACTGACTCCTTAGTCATAGAGGAAGACCCAACTCCTTATACCATTCACAAGGCACTTGCTGCTGCTCCCTCATCCTCTCTCCCAGATTTCTGAAGGTTTCTTCCCCTAGAGACTCTAAAACAGGTTTTCTGGACTGGGAGTACAGTTGAGCGACTTTGGATCTTATCGAAATCAGGGGAATTAAGTAGACTGCCGGCATACAGAATGCTGACTCCCAAGACACCTCTTCTACCCAGCCTCATGCCATTCCTTTGCTCTCAGAAAGCTGGCAGTCTGGCCTTTACCTAACAGGCAAGATGCCTCTCTGGGGAATATGCTCAGACCAAGAGAACAGATCTGAAAATATTGACATCAAGGCAGCCCAACCAATGGCCCACCCAAAATATCTTAAAGTAAAACTCAGACTTGACAAGTCCCACCACACCAGCATGAGCATGGAGCTTCCACAAGGCTTTCTGTCCTCCCACTCTTTATCTTGACCATACCATCAAGAATTGCCAGTCATATGAGGAAAGCCCCTTATGTGCAGGATAGGGAAACAGAGGATGGGGGATAGTTTCATAGTTAGGAGAGTGTTGAAATGCACTCTGAGGAGTTGAAATGGAATTTAGGACAAACTCTTAAATGAAGCAAGAAAAGGATGCATGCAAGTATCTGGGGAAAGAGTGTCAGGCCAAAAGCAGAACAGATGTGCTAAGACGGCATACTGTCTGGGGTACACGAGGACCAGCTAGCTTGCCAGTGCAGGTGGACTCACAGGTAATAAGTAAGATGAGAGAGGTGGAAGCTGAGGTCAGTGGGGGAGGTCCCTTTGGGAGATGGACCTTGGTAGATATGATCAACCCTGATAAGGAATTTGAAATGATTAGTGTGATATGAAATTGTTATTGTGATGTAATTGCAGGGTTTTGAGGTGAAAAGTGGCATAATATATAGATTTAAAGGAATAGAGACATAGAGGAGTATATGCCCAGAGAATTTCTAAAACTGGGCACAAGAAATGATAATTATCTCTGAGGACTGCAGAGTTGGGATATCAGGAGTTTTTCATCTTTATCACAGCACTGCTTCCTCTTTTTTTTTTTTTTTTTTTTTTTTTGACATGGAGTTTCACTCTTATTGCCTGGGCTGGAGTGCAATGGCGTGATTTCAGCTCACTGCAAACTCCACCTCCCAGGTTCAAGCAATTCTTCTGCCTCAGCCTCCCAAGTAGCTGGGATTACAGGCATGTGCCACCACGCCTAGCTAATTTTTTGTCTTTTTAGTAGAGATGAGGTTTCACGATGTCCAGCAGGCTGGTTTTGACCTCCTGACCTCAGGTGATCCACCTGCCTCGGCCTCCCAGAGTGCTGGGATTACAGGCGTGAGTCACCGTGCCCTGTCACACCTCTTTCTTTTTACCATTTGAATTATTTTGACCATACATGTGTAGCGCTGTAACAGTAAAAAGTAAGTTGTTTTTAAAGACAAGCTGTCTCATTCAAAAAATGAAGTCAATGGAAAAGCCTATGGAAAAGCATTTCTGATATTAATGACTCTGTTACGCAATCAGAATCTCCTTCCAAGATGGCCAGCCTCCCTTTTGCAGATGGAGCTCAGAATTCAGGTTTCCTTCCTTAACATGCTTTGAGGTTTGAAACCATAACGCACTATTTCTTTTGTTGAAACACTTCTAATCTTTCCCATCTAAAGTAAAAACACTTACCTCTGAAGATAAAGATATCACACTGCTATTTTCAAAAGGCAGACTCATGACTTAAAGACAACCGCAAGGATTTTTTGTCAATTAATATTTATTTTTTTTCTCTTAACAAAACTAGTACATGCTCTGTAGAAAATTAAGAAAACTCAAATAAACAAGAATGGTGCATGTTACAACTAGAGAAAGTATTTTTTTTCAATGTACATGAAACGTTATTTTCCCAGATTGTGGTATGGTTCAATTAATGTTTGCTTTTTCATTGAAGAGGAGAAGAAAGAAATGTCTGGGCGTCTCCATAGAATTGTGTAGTACTTACATACAGTTAGGATGCAGTGAGTAGGATCCCAGGTTGAAATTGCTGCACTCTTTTCATTAAGTCGCTATAGGATTACTGAAAAGCAGAGTGAATGATCCTTTGCTTTAATTAGACTACCTTAGGCTATTCAGAGTGGTTCAGAGAAAAACTACTATGCCTAGTAGTGGGAAACCTTGGAAGAAAACAGAAGACAAATGGAGGGGCTAGTGAAATGTCTAAGGAAGAGAAATTCTATCATTTTCTTTTGCCAAGAGCGTTCAGCTTTTAGAATTAAAGTAAGGATTAGTTCACGGCACCCGATTGCCACATTGGATTAATGTAGTTTCATTTGTTGATATCTAGGCTTTTAAAGAAATAGCCCCATGAATAGCTGTACGTTCAGAGCTTAGCCTTGTGTAGCATCGACACGAAAGGGGGAGGCACTGAGTTACCGCAGCGACTTGATAAAGAATGATTCTGTTATTGCAATTATCTCACCTCGATTATCTCACCTCAGGGGTTCAGTTCCAAACTGGGTCCCTGGGAGGGAGAGGAAGCCAGAGGAACATTCTGAGGACAAGAGCAAAAGAGAGTCAGAATCCTCTTAGATAATGGGGGTTAGTGGAGAAAAGAATGTGAGAGGTGGTCCAGGCCCTGGTGACATCTAGCCCAGCTTCCTTTCAGACATTTGCTATTCCAGCCAGACCTTTGGTTCATATAAACCAGACATCAGTTTTGCAAGTCTAGAAGGTAGGACACAGCTGTAAACTGTAACACCTGTTGGAAGGCCAGAAGCTGTGAGAGGGTTTCCAGATTCTACAGCGGAATTTGGTCCCCAAGTGAATCTTTGTCTCTTGGTGCAATGGTTGGAGCATGTGTAAAACACAGTCAAAAAGGGGAAGGGGCTCAATTAAGACATCCCAGAGAGATCATCCATTAACAGCAGGAAGCTCAGTAGATGGGCGGAAGAGAGGCACTCCGCCATGTGGATTTGGGACCAAATGAGTCAAATCCTTCGTAAGAGAGTGTGGCTGAGGTGGAGAATGAGATGGAGGAATCAAAAGTGGGATTTGAGAGCTGGAGCTTGGGCGCCAGCCCTTTCATCCCCATGTGAATTAATGAATCCTGATAGTCTCTTAAGATTTTGCTTCTCACAATGTGATCCCAGAGGTGTCTAAAAGAACAGAGAACCACAAGAATCAAGGACTCCCGCAGCTGGGAAAGGCTCTTGCTTCGTGAAGGCGCCCAGGGCCAGTGCTGAGGTTTCCAGCCAAAGGGAATGCAAACTCATTCTGCAACCCATTTTCTTTCCTGCTGGGACTGTTTCTGAGCACAAGCTATGCATGCAGGTACCATTCATGTTTCTTGAAGCTCTTTGGAGTATTTGGGAGGCTATATCCAAAGGCCATTTCTGGAATTCTTAGTTAAATGATTAAACTAAACAAAACAAGCCAACCTAAAATCAACAACATGACCCCTGCCAATTTTCCTATCATCCATTGTAGGAATCTCTGGTTAAGAAACTGCAAATATTAATATTTCACTGGGATGTTTGGTGAAAAATCGTGAGGCAAATGTCCATACCAGAAGTTTCCAAGTGAAATATTCCGGCTGATACATCCAGGAGAAAGTGAAAGCTACAATGGCAGAAGCCCCTGGTAGAGAAGGAACATGCAGGTAGGGGAAGCCCCTGGAGCCCGGCTGCTGGCCGCAGGTCTGGAAAGAAAGCTGGAATAGTCTCCTTCGCAGGCGGCAGAAAGAAAAAGGCTTGGCCGTGATAAGGACTATTTCCAGCAGGCAAATTCCAGCAGCTTAATTTCAGTCACAAAGGAGATCTTATCTATGAGACAGGGGCTCAGGTGCCACAGAGAAATCTGTCTGGGGAGTCTGCAGATGGCCTGCGTGTGCCAGTGATGAAGACAGAGTCCGCCGGAGCCACTGAGTGCCATCTCAGCACCCTGGAGGGCCAAGAGGCCGCACCAGCCCCACAGGAGAGTTAATTTGCAAGGCAGCTAATGGCATGCACCGTTCTCCTCACTTCCTTCCCAGCCTTTCTACCTTCTCCAGCATGCTGGAAAAAAGAGGTTTTGATGGAAACTAGAATAGCCATGAAGAAGACAAGAAGGCTGAGGTCATGGGAGATGAAGGTTAGGAGTGAAGAATCAGAGCACGTGGAGGAGCAAACACAAAGTTAAAGGACTCACAGAAATGCTGGACGCTTCGGACTGAAGCTGCTCTCAGGGTGTCAAGCTGGGTTTTGTTTTGTCTTTTTACCTTAGAAAAGGAAAAGACACACCCATATTTCTCCCGATGAAATTTCGGATTTTCAAAGATAAAGGAAAAAACCCAAAAGACATGGAGAGTAAAACCAAGTTAACAATAGGATTTACCTCCAGACTTCTCTGCAATATAGTCAGGCAGAAGAGCATGGAGTAAGATCCACAGAGTCTAGAGGGAAGGGACGTGGCTCAGGACTTGTAAACCCGGACAATTTATCATCACAGCATCAGGAGGTGACAGACGTGTTCAGAGATAGGCAAGTATTCCAAGAGCCAATTACCCATGTTATCATAAAAATATCCAGAAAGAAGGTGAAAGAAGTAAACAGTAGCGGTAACAATGAAACAAAGTGTCCCAGTGAATAATTGCTGTTTCTGTGGTTAGCAGATACACTTAAAATGTCAAAATAGTTTTGAAAGAGAAATTGCAGAGTGAAAACCCCACTTGTAATACCCTGGTTTTAAAATCTGAGATAATCATAATGTAATCTGGGAAATAGAGAAAAAGGAAGAAACTTCTTAAAGTAAGCTGAATTTTTTCTTATTTGAGGGATTGAGGATTTATTATGTTTATAACAGAGAAATAAAGGCTTACATGCTTTTAATGAAAGATGGTCTCTGATAGACTATGAGTAGAATGTATATTTTCCAATTCAGTCGAAATACAAAATATAATACACTAAAATAAAAGAACAAAAGGCCAAAAGTAAAGAACAAAGCAATAGAAAAGCATGAAACACAACTGCATCAACGAAGATCAATGTAAGTTGATCAGATTTCATCTTTAAAAGATAGTAATTTTTAAATTGGGTCAGCAAAACAAAATCTAGCTAAATGTTATTTTCAAAAAAAACACGTAAAACAAATTGAAGCAGAAATATTTTT